AAACAAAAGAGGTGAACTGACTGTGAAGCTACTACAGTAGACCTTGAATGCCTTCAACAGCATTAACTTGATCATGATTGAAATTCATAGTGAACAGGTTCCTGAAGACAGTATTTTTTTACCAGCTATCAGATTGGTTGCTTTCTATTAGGCTGAAGCCATCAATTAAAAAGAAAAAAGAGGAACAAATTTGCTGGGTATTACATGACAGATTTTATCATAAAGTAAGATACAGAACTGAGAGCAGAAAGGAATATGCTCTGTCACTCAGGTTAGAATTTTATGGAAGTATTGCCATACATCCATCACTTGTTCCTGCAGATGGTGGCACAACTGTTCTTATAACTACTATCAAACAAGAACGGGAAACAATCTGGCTGAAAAACAACCATGCAAAAATCCTATCTTTGGTTTGTTTGTGTTTGGGTTTTTTTTAAACAGATCGCATTTGATTCATTAGCTGCTGCACATGTACTGCTATGAAAGTGATATGTCACAGCAATACTAACAGCACTACCACAGCTCAGATTTTACACTAGCATGACCCCAAATATATCAGGATACTAATTAATCATGTATGTACTATTGTACAAATTTATCCCTTGTCTGTTCCATCTAACATACTAACTTTTCTTATGTTGTGCACTGTCATCCTCATTAAATCCCATTCTCCCTAATCTCCTCTTGCAATCTGCATACTTTCCTGGCCTCAGTTGATACACACTTAAATGTATGCATAAAAGCAGGCACTGAAGAGTCTGTTTATAATGGGTTTGCAATATATTTTACAGCCTTCCAGATAAAATGTTTGACAAAAAGAGTAATGCTTCCAGACAACAGGTCCTCAGTGGGTGTTTTGTTTGAAACTGTCATGAAATTGCTCCCAGCATGGCACTACTCTCCATTAAAAACTCTGCAACATTAGTGTGCAACCACAGCTCAGTGCAATTCCTATAATGACTGCTTTATTTATTCACTCCACTGTCTGTGAAGCTCAGATTATCATTTAATTCTAAATAAACTGCATACTGTGGACATTTATAAGAGCACAACCCATTAAATCCAACACTTCTTCGACAGCTCTAATTTGCTTGCAGTATTATGATAATTCCCACTTTGAGAAAAATGGCTTTAGTTCTATGTATCTTGTTTTCCATAATTTCTTATAACATCTTAAGTATTTAGCTTCCATCCACACCATTTAGAAAGGCTCTTACAAATATAGATCTAGGCACACTCATTGGCAACTGAATAAAAGCCAGTTTCTGTAATCACAGGCTTTTAATCAGATTTAATATGTCTTTATAATCACTTAGAACTGGAAAGATGGGCAGGTAGAAACAAGCACATTTTGTAATAGGTATGTTCTAAACTCTGATGTATCTAATATGCAGCATACAGTAAGGGTTATTACACATGGAAAACAGACAAAGTGAAACTGCTGGACTGAAAACATTAAGGTATTCTTTTTCCAGGTATACTGCACATTTATCCATACTGCTGAAAGTCTATTCAAATGAAAGGTGATTTTATATTTACACAATTGAACATATTTATATATATTGATGAAAAAACGCACAGCCTGAATTTTGGGTCAAAAAACCTCCCTCTGAACTCAGAATTTGGGCCTGAGGTTGGAGTACAGAACTGCAACCCATGCATATGCCAAGAAGGTGTCGACTAAAACATACACTTTCTACACACTAAACCCTGTGCTATTTTCCAGGCAGTGTCCCACAGCAGTACGAAAAGTGTGCAAGAGCTTGTTCAGGAATTTATTTTAAGCTGGGATTTAAGATTTGAATGCATTTTCTGAATGTGTAGTGTCATCAAATGATGTGGGTTTGTAAGCTCTTTCTGCTTTTAACCAAGCAGAAAACAAGAAATCTCTTAAGTGCAAAGAAGTTGATGCTTTTCCCTGCCTCAAGTAACTCTCTCACGCAGAACAAAAAATAACAGGAGCCTATATATATTTATTTTTTATTTCCCCAAATTTCCAGTATTCATCTATGACCTTTCATTTTCCATTGCAAAATACAAAGTACGGCAGAACAAAATATCTAAGCAAATAAAAGATATTCATAGTGATGAGTCAAAAGAATATAGTGGATAACAGCCAAAAGACAATTTTAAAATTCTTTTTTTTCTGATCATATGCCATAAAGATATAGAGAATGTACTAGATAAAGGCTGTTTTCCTTAAAAAATATTTATAATGGAAGTTGTTTATCAAAAGAAGTTATTTCTGGACTGAAGAGCAAGAAATGTAATTGTTCTCTAATCTTGTTTTAAGTCACAATCAGTGTCTTGAAGGAGTCCCTGAAGAGGTTGCTGTTCAAAGCCTGCAATGAATATTATCGACAGAAAACATCCCAACAAGTTCTCTAGTCGAGATACCTACTTTCAGGAATATAGTTTACCTACTCCCTTATCTCTCTATAAACTCTGAGAGATAAAGCCTAAATAATGTTTGCAGCACCCTTGTCCTTCCACTTTTAGAAATACAACATTCTTTAACTTATTTCTGTAATTTTTGTAGTTCATGGCAGTCATTGCTATCAGACAACGGCTGTCAAAGATGGTAAGCTGTATTATGACGTAGATCTTGCTACACTATTTTTCTAGTCCATATGCAAACTCAGCAGCAAGAAATACAGAAGTCAAGAGACAAAAGAGCAGGAAGGGCGCAGAGAAATAAAATCCTTTCCACTACTCTTGATCTAAAGTGAGATGTGCAGACCAACCCTTCTCAATTTCAATTTGCAGCCTACAATGTGAGCCAAGATCTGACAGGGGAAGATTGACTGGTGCTATTTGGTTTCATGACTGCAGGAAGTTATACACAGACCACAAGAAACAACCAGTCACCATTTCTTCTACAAAGAGAATTTAGCAGAGGGGAAAAAAAAAAAAAGAACACACGTTACAAAATAAAATTGTTCCAAACAATTATTCACAAAGAAAAATAACATTAAATAAAAATAAATAAGTAATAAAAAAAAAAGGACAGAAGCAGCAGCTACTTAAAAAGATAAACTTACACCCATATTGGTCACCCAGACCATAACCATAAATACCCATAAGCCAGCACTGCCATCAGGGGTAGGAATCTCTTGCCTGTTATTCCGCCCAATGCTGAGTCCATCTTTGTGCTGCCACAGATACTGATATGACCAGAGATATGATCCTCCCAGAAATAAAAGATGGGTATTGCTAACATGGGTAAGTTCCCTATCCTGTTTCACTGAGCAGCTGCACAAAAGCACAAAGCAGCAGACACTGAAGGCTGGGCAGATCTTCTCCTTTTGGCAGCAATGCTGATTCAACCACTTTAAAATTTATGTTAAGCTATGTCCTATCTGTGATATACACTTAGAAATGCAGAAGGAATTATCACAATAAGCTACCCAGAAAGAAGACAGAGTCAGACTAGAACATACTCCCCAAAGAAAAATTCATATCTTTATGAAGTCACAGCCTATAACAACTTGTTACACTAATTGTCTAGCTTTTCACTGACAAAAAGATAAAGTGCTGGCTATTTGCCACTTCCAAGCACTGTACCTTGCACTGCATTTGCTGGGTGGAAGGTTCTGTCCTTCAAGTCATGTTTGAGCAAGTCAGCCTCTAATCTTCCCTTTATCCTCTCAATTCTCTCACTATAGGGTTTATTGCCCAATTTTATTATCAGTTTCATTACTTCTCCCTAATCTCCAATTTAACAAAACCATTCCTCAATTGTGGAAAACATTATTGCCACAGTGCTTGTTCCAGCATCCAGGAGTTAAGGTAAAATGTCCTCTTTGTGGGGACATTTTATATTTACCATTACATTATAGTAAAATGTCCACCGAATAGCCATCAAGATGCCCAACTATTTTTCAGAATAAATGCCTCAAGAGAAGTCAGTATTAAGAGAAGCTTCTCAAAATTGCTTTGCTTGTTCATTCTTGACATAACAGCTTTACATTTGATTTATTGAAACAATAGCAGCTCTCTGTCTATCTTAATAGAACGAGACAAACTAAGGAAATGGGCTATCGCTCATGTGCTTCGAGGTGCTCCAGTAACCATCCACCCTACAGTCCTTCCAGTATAAGAATATAGGACTAGTTCATCTAGACCAGCAATAGCACACCTAGAATCAGATGTTTCAAATAACAGTCCAGCTGGTGGGACTGAAGTAATCTTTCCCATGATTTCTACTTTTCTCTAAAACTTAAGAGACAGCCTTGGCATACAACAATACCAGAAAAAAACATCTTCTACATTTACTACATGATTCATTTAAAACAATGATAGATATTTTTGTATCTTTATGTATTTACAGCTAAATTCTCAGTCTCAAGTTAATCCAGGGTCATTCCATTCCTTTTAGTCAGTCCATGTGCAGTAAGTTCCCCAGTTTAGTCACATCTTGCGTGCAAAAGCATTCACCGACATGCTTTTTTCCATTTCCTACCTTTCCATTTCACTCACTCACTCACTCATTCCTGTACTAGGAGACAGACAGGTCCTGTTTTTCTAGAATTCCTGTTTTCACATGGAAGCTCTTCAGGACAGCTCTGCTAACACTAACAAAAGCCTTTGCTTCCACTTACAGGACTTTTGATAAGACATGTAGTGATGCTGCCCCAAGAAGCAATGCCATTTCTGCAAATCACTCAGAAAACTATCTAATAAGGTTGAAAAAACAGTCTGAAGATGCAAAGGAGTCTTTTTATAATACTGAAAATCACTGACCTCTGAAGTATTTAAAACATGCCAGCTTCCACTATTTTTGGCCTTTATGGACTGAAATAATTGTGAATTATGCCCACAGAAGTAGACATGACATTAATTTCCACAATGATCTAAGCTTTGATGTGCAGAGTTTTCTACAGCTCTAAATAGTTAAAGCCATAAATAGCAAAGCTTACCAAGTTGCCACTAGTAGAAAGCTAGAAGGAGAAGTCAGAAAGACGTTATCAGGAATTCAGTAGGTGCACCAAGTAACTTACCAAACAGGCGCTGATGGAAGAGAAATTTCCCAGCTATGAGTCCTGTGAGAATGGCAAGCAGCCACAGAAGCACCTTCAAAAATCTCCAGCCTCCTCCTTCAGGGTATTTATTTGTTACAAAGGAGAAACAATTACCAACAACAATAACATTGGCTTCTGTCTGACTGTGAGATACTGGGTCCTCAGCAAATATTAAGAAGTTAAAGAAGATCACTAAGTAAGCCACAACTAAGCGAGACCACGGGTGCTGGAAGTAGTAGCGGAAGTCTTTATCCATCCTCAGATACTGCAGAACTGTTCTTTGCCTGTATGGAAAGACACAAATACACAATGTTAAATATATAAGCAAAATTCGTGGATCTTAGGAGATAAGTGCACATTACAAAAATCCAATCACTGTACTTGTGTCATCAGTCATTTTTAACACTTCCGACTTGACTAGCAGTGACAGGTTCGGTCAAAAGATACTGTCATATCCAAGTAGAGAAAAACTCAAATTTCTGCCCATTCCGATGTAAAAACAACAAACAAATATATATATATATATATATATATCACAGCACAGGAATTTTAGTCTCAAACATTTCTGTGTTATCTCTTGCGAGGAACAGCTCCATAATGGAACATGAAAATACAGCATTTAAGAACGTGACCAGCTACATGAAACTCAAAAGTGACTTTCCAGCCACATTCCAAAAAATACAACACAGATTTCACAAATGTCCATGTTAAGACTAAATCAAATCTTTCTCCATACAGGAGACAGCCGGAACAAGCCCGTAAATCCAGGGAGGTCTTCTACTGCCTTACCTCCTGGAAGCTCACAAATGTATAGCCCAAGCAATAGGAAAAACTTGTTTTAATCTGAAGGAATACCGTGAGAGAAAGTTGATAGAACTAATCCTTGCCAGTCAGGCAAGTCTGTGGAAATCTTTCCGTCGACTTCAGGGAGTACACCTATAATTATGCATATTTTCAAAACCAAAATGCAATACTTCCCTGAGCACAGACTGTATGAATATAAAAACTGTATTTTGAAACTTGCCTACTTATGAAGTACTGCTATGGATAAATGCAACTAAGCATGGTTAACGTTTCAGTTGTTTACCATTTGACTTCTCTTTCTTTTATTCATGACAAATTAGTTGCTTCACTCTGTTGAACCACTTTGTACGAACAAAGATACAAGGCCTTTGTGTTGTGGAACACTGCAATTATTCAACAGACAGAGTGTAGGAAGCAAAGAAAAAAAAAATTAAAAAAAGAGTATCTAATAATATTGCTTGTTTATTACAGCAGGATCCTTGAAGGATACAGTGTACTTAACCGAACAGCACAGATTTTCGCAAATGTCATTTGCCCTGCAGGGAAAAAAAAACCAAACCAAACACAAAACAAACCAAATCACGGCAAAAGACCTAAAGAAACCAAATCAACTACTCATCCTCTCTTGGACTTCTGACTAAGGATTGCTTAGCAAACTTGCAAACAGCTTGAATTACAACGTCTCCCTTCAGGCAGTCCTTCAAAATCATTTATAAGCTGATTTATATTTTTAAAACTACAAGAAAACCTGTACCCATTAAATCAAAAGAACCTCTCAGAAAACACATTCAATAAATAATAAATAATGTCCCATTATACGTAAATTACATATGAAAAAGAAGAAACAAAAACACTTCAGAAAGTTAAAAAGCTGGCACAAGGAAGCGTCAGCCCTCTGAAAACTTTACGAATAAACTCACTTAAAGCGAGGGTCATTGGCCCTGCAGCCTAAGAAAACACCACTTTGGGGAGGTTAAACTGCCTTTAGAGGTGTAAGGATGCCCAAAGCTGGTTCATGTTCTCCTTTCTTCTGGCTGAAGTGAAGAAAAGTTTTAGTATTTCCTTACGTGTACGAGCCACCCTGATGCCCGAACGGGGCTGAAGGTAAACAACTCCCTGTGTCCTGACATGTCCGGCAGCTGCCGGCTACCCGGGAGTTACCGGCTGAACG